TCTACTTTGAATGGCTCAACGCAAGTATAATTGTTCGTTATTTTTCAATTTATTCCGTATCGAAATTGATAAAACTTTATTAAACGTAAATACTACAAGTTTAACATGCATTTTTTGATTACATAAAATAATAAAAAAGTAAATAAAAAATTTTTTAATGTCACGTAAACCCTACACATTCTTGTGCCTGGTACGTACGTAAGAGAGTCCAGATAATTGAAAAACTGTAGTTAGAATAGTTGATCGACGACCCAGTAGATTTGCAATATACGTAATGACTTAAGCCACTGGTTTTAATCGACTGGCTCAGCTAGTTAACAGCTGATCAATAACCTACTTTCGAATTTTTTGGTAAACTTTCCAAAGAATTAACTCTATCTTTATGTTGAATTTCATTTTCGAATTTATTGGGATCCTTTTATTTTATAAATCACGATATTTAACCACCAATTGCATTACATCTGCTGGCTTATTCGGCTAAGCCGGCTTAGTTGCGGCTGTCTTAGTCGGCTTAAATCACTATTACAAACTTTCAGATCGTAGATCGATCCGTACTGGTAGTGATCTGATTTTGTGTGATTTGTATGTATCTTTGATCAGATTTTGTACAGTAGATGTTATTTTGAAGGTATGATATAAAAACATTTATTTGCATTGGATTTTCACTAAGGAAATCACTTTACAATCGCGCAACCAAGCACTGTGATTCGCAAAATTTGATAATTTTATGAACAACATCCTTGCATGTCAAAAATATACTAGATATACAATCTTTTGTATGATTTCCACTATGACAATCATTGCGCCAATGATTACTACATTATACTTAGTGGATCAGAAAAATTCAAACGCTATTTATATAGTTCTGATTAAAATGAACTAAGAAATCGATTTATAAAATATGTCTTTATTATAATTAAGAAAAATTATTAAACAAATACAAACTATTTTCAAATTTTAAAATTTAACACTAACATTAAAAGAAGGCACTTTTAAATAAGCTTATTAGAAATTAACGCCATTTATTCGGTCGAGCAAAAAAAAAACGAGTGCCAGTAAAGTCGTTAAACCTATGTCAGATGACAAATTAGCCAGTTTTGCTGGTAGTGTAGTAATTAGTACGAGTATTAGTATTGTCTTAGGTTTATACTCTACCTATTCTGGACGTAATGGATGGCATAAAAGTAATGGGAAGTTATCAATAATTTTAGCAATAGTGGTTCCTTTGTTAAGTTTTATTGGGGTGATTGGAATGATTGTTGGAGTTAACGATGATATTGATCGATGTAAGAGCTCAAATAATTCACTACAGATTTGGGGTATATCAATATTATTATTTGTAAGGTTTATAGTAAATTTATTAATTTTACCAAATCCTTTTTATCCTGAAGTGACATTTATTTCATTTATAGTACGTTTTTTTGTTGAATTTATTACTGAAGAGTGGACTAGTGCTAATTGTACTAATTATCCACGTGATCAAATAATTTGGTTATTCATTGGCAATTTATTAATATTTTGTTTTTTTTTCTGTTGTACTGGTAATAATATAAATAATATTTGGAAACTAGTGTCAGCATTTAGTGATTGTCCAGTGTTAGAGGAATATACATATAATATGGGAGCGAGTGCTAATGGACATTTCAGAGTGGATATTCCAACTGAAGTATATGCTTGTGTGTGGTTTGTTGCAGTTTTATTATCAATTCCAGGTTATATACTTGTTTC